GTCCCGATAGTCGCCGTCTCGGGGGAAGCCTGGCGGGCCGGTGGGGCTGTGCCTGTGCCGCCGCCGCCGCCTACGCTGAGTCTCGGAGCCCGGGGAGGCCTCGTAGGAATCCTGGCCGACAGAATGAGATGAGAGACACCAGACGGGCAGTCAGTCTGGGGTGGGCCTAGGGGCTGGCCGCTGGCTCTCTGAGGCAGGCAGGCTCTGAAAGCCAGGGGTGGGCGGGCTCCGGCTAAGGGCTTGGGGCAGGCAGGGTAGGTAGGCCTTTCTGGGGTTGGAAATTCTCCCCAGGATGCTTTTGGGGGCTGCCATGGTAGAGTGGGGAGAGACTGGTGGCAGTGTTGGTGTGGGTGAAGAACTCCCAGACAGGTGACTAGACACCATTTAAACCTCCTTGGGAAGAGACGGTCTGGAGTTGGCACTCTAAACCCTGCCTTCTGTTTCTCCCTCTTCCTCCCTTGCCAGCTCAGCTACTACGTGCACAAATTGTTACTTCTGCCACAGAAGGCTACACGTCACTTACGATTCCCAGCCTGGGCCTGGGGGGTCCCTGCAACCAAGTTATGGGTATAGTACTAGCTTGTATAACGTCTCAGTTACAGCCAGCCAGCAGGGACTGGTGAATGTGTAAGAGCTACAGCACTGCCCCCTGGTCCCCAATCCTCTGCCTGGCCAGTCGTCTATCACCACCAAGCTCCCTCCTCACAGGGTGTGGTCATTGGGTTCTTGGGTTTTGCCCAACCAATCCTTTCAGGACTAAGCAGGCAAGGCCTGGGTCCACATCCCTCCCGCCTTCAAGAGGGCCTGATAACTCAGTGCTCCACTCCTATTCTTCCCAACCCAGCTACCACTGGGGAAACTTGACTGCCTACCACAGAGGTTTTTGCACTGGACATCCCCAGAAGGAGCCCAGTGGCCCACACTCTGCCCCACCAGTGCTGAGGCTGCAAGATTACCCTTCCCATCCTGCCAGATAGGTGAGTTGTCTGTTTGCTTGGACCAGGGACCTGACCGCCCCCTTAAACTGGGGTTCCTCTAAGGCAGAGCTGCTTCTTCCCTCAGCTGGGGGCTCCCTGATGGTGAGCATCATGCCTCCCCCTTCAGGCTAGGGCTAAATACACAACATGGAACTCAGAGGAAAGGCCTGAGGGGATCTTTCTCTTCAGTCTAGGAGCTTTGCTACCACTAGGAATGCCCACAGTTGGCCTCCCAGAGCTGCTCTGCTTGGCGATATCCAGTTTCCCAGTTGCCCTCCCAACCCCAGATACCAGGTGCCATGTAAGAGGCTCTTCAAGGGCCCCATATTGGCTGGGAGCAGGAAGTACAGGGCTTGCAGTGAACCATGGACCCAAACTGAACACCAGTGAAGGAGGGAGAGAGGTGGTAGCCAGGGGCCCTCAGAAGTATAGAGCCAAGCATGTGGAAGTCAGGGAGATCCAACTCGGGAGAGGAGCCCTCAGAGGGGGAGTGGGGACAGACCATCCAAGTGAGGCAAAGGCACTGAGCACAGTCTAAAGGCACAGGAGCCAAGAGCTACCTGCAGCCAGACAGAAACCCTGCAAGGAACTTTGCCCTACCGCCCCCCGCCCCCCAGGCCTGACTGGCCCTCCTGAACTTACCTCTGCACTCTGCTCCTCCGACGAGTCATCATAGTCGTGCTTGCCCTCCTGGCTGCCGTATTCTCGGGGGTATGAGCGGTAGTCCATGTCCCGGTAGTCGTGGTCCCGGCTGCGGTTTTCTCCACTGTCATCCTGTGATCGGTCGGTGGCTCCATAGCGGCCAGTCCTATCTCCACGACCACCTCTGGGGGAAGAAGGATGGGAGGGATTAGAGGGCAGTTCTGAAAGGGGTAAGAGGTGAGGCTGACTCCCACCCACTTACTCCTTCTAGACCCTCAACCCCACCCCACAACAAGGGTCCCTAAATCCTGACCCCACAGGGTGAGCAGGTTCCTACTCTTCAGCAAATCCAATCCACTTCTCTCCTTCCCTCTCGTCCATGCTGTCATCCTTCACTGGACTCTCGGGTGTGGCCTCTACCCAGGCCTCCCCCAGTTCATTCTCTACACCCCAAACGTGAGTGCTTTATGAGGCAAAGCCAACTGAGCCCAATTGTATCGCTCTCTTCAGTTGTTCCCGCTTACTATCAGGATAAAACACTATAAAATGCTCACCAAGGTCCTACAAGGTCTGTAGGGTCCTGTGGACTGAAGTCCCTGCTGACCTCTCTTCCTCCGCCTCACTGTGCATGGTGCCAACCCGTCCCTGTGTTTCACGTTCACCTTGCTAGCACTAGCGGCTGTTTTGTTAAAATTTCTCCTACTGCAATAACTGTAAAATAATTATCTCAAAGTTGATTTAATGTGCATTTCTTTGATGATTTAAAAAATTACTAGACTGTGACTTCTGGGAAAAGAAGGAACCATACCTGTTTGGTTTACTGCCCTAGTCCCCAAAGCTTAGCTTAATGCCTAGTACTCAGTAGGTGCCCAATAATTATTCTCTTTGATAAAATAATGATTAAAAAAGTACTCTAAAAGCAACTAATACACATTTACTTAAACCAAGGAAAAACAGACACCATTATTAACATTATTCTAAGATTCTAACTGAAAAATTAAACAAAGGAATGAAAAGAGGTTAAAAGCTGGAAAGGAAAAAGTACAATTACTGTTATTTGTAAATGATATAAGGATATGCCTGCAAAGCCTTAGAGAATCAACTGAAAAGTAATTACAAATAACAAATCAGTAAGGATGCTGGGTACAAAATTAATATACAGAATATCTAGCCTGTATTCAGAGAGCCACTGTTTAGAAAACAGGAAGATCTCAAGTATAACTGCATCAAAATTAACTACCTCTCGACATGTGCAAGCTCTTATGACTGTACTTCACATACATGAACCAAGATAATTTTGAAATGGGTCACTGATTTAAATGGAAGAAATGAAACCATAAAAGTAAGAGAAAACATGGGATAATTTCTTGACAATCTTGAAATGGGGAAAACTATGACCCAAATCCAAAAGCCATGGGAAAAAAGTTAAATTCAACTATATAAAAATAAAACATATTTCCTTGGCAGAAACAAAAGTGATCAAAAGCCAAGTCAAGAAAAACAATAAACTGGAAAAAAAAATAACGAAAAAGGAAAGGAACAGAATCCGCAGTAAAGAAATACAAATGATTTAGATTTGAAAACATGCTCTATCTCAATCATAATGATAAATGAAAAAACTACACTGGACGGACCATTTTTAAATACATGTTTAAAATTTGTTTTTGTATATTTTTCTAAATCATTTTTATTGTAGTAAAGTATACATAACAATAATTTACCATTTTAACCATTTTTATGTGTCCTATTCAGTGGCACAAAGCACACTCACGACATTGTGCAGCCATTACCACTCCCAGAACCTTTCATCAACCCAAAAGCTCTGAACTCACTTAACAACTCCCCACCCCACAACTTCTATTCTACTTTCTGTCTCTATGTATTTGCCTATTCTAGGTACCTCATTTAAGTAGAATCATATATGTCCCTTTGTGTCTGACTTATTTCACTTAGTATAATGTTTTCAAGGTACACCCATGTTGTAGAATCTATCAGAATTTCATTCCTTTTTATGGCTGAATATGTATGTATGTAGTATTCACATTTTGTTTATCCATTCACCTGTTGATGGACACCTGGGTTGTTTCCACTTACTGATTGTTTTGGTTATTGTGAATAATGCTGCTATGAACACTGGTATTCAAGTATCTGTTTGAGTCCTTGCTTTTAATTCTTTTGGGTGCACACCCAGGAGTGGAATTGCTAGATCATATGGTAATCCCATATTTAACTATCTGAGGAAATGCCAAACTGTTCCACAGCGGCTGCACCATTTTACATTCCCATCAGCAATACATGAAGGTCCCAATTTCTTCACATTCTCATCAACACCTGTCATTTTGCATCTTTTCATGTACTTATTGGTCATTTGTATATATTCTCTAGAGAAATGTCTAGTCAAGTCTTTTGTCCATTTTTGAATTGTTTTTATTTCTGTTGCTGTTGTAGGAGTTCTTTACATATTCTAGGTGTTAATCCCTTATCAGATATGATTTGCAAAAATGTTCTCCCATTCTGTGGGTTGTTTTTTCACTCTCTTGAATAGTGTCCTTTGATGTACAAACATTTCTAATCTTGATGAAATCAAACTTATTTTGAAATGATTTTAGATTTACAGAAAAGTTCAAAGAGAATAGAATTCTCATAGATCCTTCACCCAGCTTCCTCTAATGTTAACAGAACCATGGCACATGGTATAAAACTAAGAAGTTAACTAAGCTATACGCTTTATTAGGATTCACCAGTTCTTCAACTTCTATCCTCCTTCTGTTTTAAGGTTGAATCCAGGCTACTACATTGCACTTAGTCATCATGCCCCCTTAAATCTCCTCTGGTCTGTGAAAGTTCCTTGATCTTGCCTTGTGTTTTTATGACCGTGACAGTTTTGAAGAGTACTGGTTAAGTATTTTGTAGAATGTACCTCAACTTAGGTTTGTCTGTGTTCTTATGATTAGACCTGAGGTGATGAAGGTTATGGTGTTTTTGCGAGAAGACTACAGTAAAGATGAGCTGCCCTTCTGATCGCACTGTATCAGGGAGCACATGATATGAATATGATTTACCATTAGTGATGTTGACCTTGATCATCCGGTTGTGCTGGGGTCTGCGAGGTTTCTCTACTGTAAAAGTTTTTCTTTTTCCCCTTCTACTCTCTATTCTTCAGAAGTGAGTCACTAAGACCAGCCCTTACTCAAGAGGAGGGGAATTAAGCTCTACCTCCTAGAGTGGGGAGTATCTACATATATTATTTGAAATTCTTCTGTAAGGAGGATTTGGGATAGAACATTTTTAATTCAATAAATCTTCAAAACTCCAAATGTTTGACAACAAACTGTTGGCAAGGTTGTATGGGAACTAGCACTCTCATATTGCTGGTAGGAGTGAAAATAGAACAATCCCTACTGAGGGGAATTTGGCAATAGCTGGCAAAACTAAAAATCTATATACCCTCTGACCCCCAATTCTCCTTCTGGGAATTTAATGGACTGATATGCTTGCACATGTATAAAAACATTATTCACTGCAGCTCTGTTTATAACAGAAAAGGCCATGAAACATCTTAGAAGGGTTAGGAAAATTCTGTTTTAAAATACACTGAGGGGGAGAGGAGCCCCACCAAACATTATAACATATTATAAAGTTGAGACAATTGAAACATGAATGGACGGATCAGTGAAACCAGAGTCTACAGTATAAAAATACACGTGGAAATTTAGAATAAGCCAAATATTACATTTCAAATGAACAGGGGAAAAATGGATTAGTCAATAAATACTAGTTGTGATAACTGTCTGGTCCAGGGATGGGCAAACTATAGCCAGTGGGCCAAATCCAGTCACTTAAATCAAGTTTTCTTGAACACAGCTACATCTATTCATTTACATATTGTCTGTGGCTGCTTTCAGGTGGGTAGCTGTGACAGGTCATATGGTCTGCAATGCCAAAAATATTTACTATCTGGTCCTTTACTTTCAGAAAAAGTTTGTTGATTTTTGAGAAAATAAAGTTGTTTATTCTTACACCAAGTAAATCCTAAATGGATCAAAAATTTAAATCCTTGAATAGAAACCACAAAAGTATTAGAAAGAAAACATAAGAAAAAATTTATCACCTCAAGAATGGGGAAGGGCTTTCCAAGCAAGGTAAAACCCAGAAGTCATAAAAAAAGAAAACTGATAAATGTAGCTTCATAAAAATTTTTAAACACCTAGAGTGTAAAATAAATACCATAAAACGAATAAACATGTGATAGAGCAAGTAGGGTAAGAGGTTCATGGTAGAATCCAGTGGATGGGTATAGAGGTGTTCACTGTAAAATTCTTTCAGCTTTGCTGTATGATTGAAATTTCATAATATTAGAAAAACCATAATGCAAAAAAGATAATTAACGAATAAAATGTTTCCAGACATTTTGGTTGGTTTCCAATTTTTCATTAATTATTTGTTCATTCATTCGTTCACTCAACAAATATTAAGGTAACATTTGCTATGTGTCAGGCACTGTTTTAGGTGCTGGGGATACCCTCGTGAATGAAGTCCCTGTCCTTGTGGGTTCAGCTTGGAACCCAAATTGTTTCCTTATGATAAATGTCACAACAAGTGGCTGGTATGAGTATTACTAAGGTTTTTGATATGAACGATGTATTTTCATGTTTGCTTACTATAGGCATCCCTCAATATTTGAACTCTAGTCATCAGAATTTAAGAAATGAACAGATTTGAATAAATGTTCAGAAGAAATCCTGAACTCTCTGACACTCAGCATCTTAACCAAATAAATTTGGATACTGAACTCTTGCTATCTTAACTCAGGAAGGGAACAGATTTAGATAGTCAGGGATACTTTTCATTGGCCGCAGAGCACTTTGTGGACTAAACACCTTCTAAAAGACAGACTCCGTTCATAATATATTCCTAGGAAAATGGACTGAATCATAACATATGAGGACCTCCACAAAACGAGTATATTTCTAAAAAACGCAAAATGCCAAAATTGGCAGAAGCAGACAAAATGATAATCAAAAACTCAGCCCCTTTTAGATGTGAGTTTAACCAAGGTTTCAAGGCTACCTTGTCATGGGGCTTCCTTTATTCAATGCCAGATAAATAGAAAAAGAAATTATAGGACCATGTCATTGATAGACACAGATGTAAATATCCTAAATAACACAAAACACAGTATCTGATCAAATGTAACTGTTTTAAAAAATATGCGTATCTTATATACTCATGTTCCCTTTCTATCTCTGAACCTCTTGTGCATGTAGGGTCTCTGTCTCTCTCATGTATGCAGAGTTCCCATACATGCGTATGTATTATATCTGGCTATTTTCTCTTGCTAAAAAAAATAAAAAATATATATGTATGTATATATTTTATGTATATATGTGTATATATATCATTGTTTAAATAATTTTTCTGTCAAAAAAATGTGAGTAAATGTTAGAAAAACACAAATTGAGAAACATCAACAAAGCAACTTACCTATACTCTTAAAACATATCAAGGTCATAAAAAGACAGAGACTAACTGTTCCAGGTTAAAGGAGACTAAAAGATTCTGAAAGCAAAGATTATAACACAATAGAATTTTAGCACACTAAAGGTAAGAACAAGTATCCATCCTTGGGAGAATCATTAAGTAAAAGGCAGCAGGCACACCGCATGGTGTCTTTGGGACCAATTAGAAGCAACGCATTGATATACACATGGCAATACAGATCTTAAAAATGCAGGGCTGGGTAATACAAAGCTCAGGGAACAGAATGAAGACTGTAGCACTCTGTCATTCGTGTTAAGTGAAAACACAGGCACTCAAAACAACACTACATATTTTAGAAGGCTACATTTCAAACATGACAGAGAAGCTGCCTATAGCTATAGGAATTGGGAATTAAAAGGAAAAAAAAATAAATATGGCAAAAGAAGGCCTTTGTACTGACCTATGACAGAAACCTACTGTGAACTAGAAAAGTATAATTAACTCAAATCTCTGCACTTGAGGTCCTTTAAAAGCCAAAAGAAAGAAAGCCAGTGGCTTATTTGGTAATAAAGTCTGAAGCAACTATATCACCTACTCAAACTCAGAAACCGCCAAAGAGCATTTCCAGTGAATATTACCCAAAATCCACTGCCTTTCAAAAGACATTTTTAAAGACAGTCAAGACTAAATACCATCTGAAATTCGGGCTCACTTTTCAGAAAACAAAATATTATAATTCTACATTTGAAAAAGGGCCTGGTGGTAGAAGAAACCCTTTGTAAGACATCAAAAAAATTATTTCCTCCCTGACTTTTTATAAATCTACTGACTCTTAATAGAGGCTTTCTGGGAGTTAGGTCTGCTTTCCTATATAATCTTAAAATGTCAGGAATAGATCACCTGCATTAGAATCAACCAGGATGGTGAGGGTATGGCCTGAGATCTCTGTATTTTATCAAGTGTCCTGTTTCTTGTTCGATCAGAGATTAAAAATAACTGCATAAGAGCGTCCCATTCCAAGACAAGTATCATGTCAACTTCACCCCATCCTGCCCCTGAAATCTCCCACTATCTGACCTGGCTTGCTCCATACTTGTCCTGGCAAACTTATGACTCTGAAGGCACCACTCCACTCCATCCCTTAAACCCAAAGCTACAGCCCACATCTCTCTCCTGAGAACCCACAGGCACTTACAATCCACTACCCATCTTTGCCTCTCCTCTTGCAGTGGCTGTCTAGACCTTGGTGAATGGCACCATATACCTATCTGGTCACCCAAATTAGAAACCTTGGCATCAGCCTCCATTTATCCCTTTCTCTTAATCCCTTCCTACCCTCACAACCATGGCACCCATCAAGCTGCTTTGGAATCACCTGTAAAGTGCATAGTCTCCCTGTGAGACCTGGAGTAAGGGAAAGGTTGCAATCTTATCTGTCTAAATTACCATGACACTCCCAGAGCCTACCACACAGGTCCTGGCTTACAACAGGTGCCAAGTAAATGTCTGCTGAAAAGAAACCAGTCATTTGCTGCACCGTTTCCTTTGCCTGGAAGCCTCTTCCTAGCACCTTTCTGGATCAGTTCTCACATGGGGACAAGCCTAGGCTGCCTAGTCGGAGTGGGTAACTCACCGTCTTTCATACTCCATGTCCTGATAGGGCCGTCGGGGGCTGCTGGGGCCCCTCCTCAGCCGCTGGCTCCGTTTCACTTCCCAGCCACCCCCACTGCTGCCACCATGATCTGCCAGCCTGGGTGATGCCTCCTGTAGGAACTCTGGGGAGAGAGGAAGGAAAAAAAGGGGTCAAGGCAGTTGAGGCAGGGAGGGTCTCCTTGAGAAACCATTGTTGTCAAGACTTTTTGTTGTCACTTAGCCCAGGGATGTTGTTTCCCGACTCCTAATGCTCCTGTGGACCAGAATAGAAAGGTAGCCCCTACTTGGCCTGCTCTTTTCCTTTCCCCACAAATGTGAGGTTAGAGTCCACTGCCCCAGAAAGAGCAAGGCCTTCAACAGACAGGAAGCATTTTGCAGACCTGGTGGTGCCACCCATTCTGGGATGAGGGCTTTGTCATCTGAAACTGGTAGTCTGTTCAAGTCCAGAGCTACCTGCCCAGAAGGGCTTTCAGTGCTGAATGACTTGTTTGAGATCAGGCACATCATGCAGAAGCAAGACTTCACAACAGGAGTCCCAGTCCATGAGCCTCCAGGGGCCATTTCATCCTTCCAACAAAATGCTGGCTGACCCCTACAAGACAGCAGGAACCATGAGAGGCTTAGGGGGCGAAGGGGCTAAATTGGCAATGAGACAGCTGCCGCCTCCCTGGACTCCTGGCCACCACAGCTTTGTCCCTCACTCAGAACTGGCTCAGCCCTGAGCCCTGTGTCTTATGCGTAATCAGGTCCCAAGGCGGCTCTCTCCCCGGGGTAAAAGGAGCCCTTTCAAAGGCTGTTCTGAACTACTGTCCTATTCTGCTGGGATGGAAGGGCAGACATTTCACCCAACCCCCAGGGCTACCAAAAGAACTAAGGAATTCCTGAGCCATGAGATCTGGCCAGGGGTCACCATGCAGTATCCGAGAATCTTCAGGCCCTGCCCTCTGTACAGGAATCGGGCAAAACCGAGAGGTAACAACACCTGCCCAACGCTAGGTTGCCACCACACCTTTCCTCCGTGTATATATACACACCAATTTTCTTTTCCTTCTCAAGCCACAGGGAACCAGAGTTACCTGCTCCCAGATGGGTAAGAGAATCACAACCAGGGGCCACATGAATAAGAGCCGATACAAAACACTTAGTACACTCTGGCAAAGGGGGCAGTGTCACACACTGGTATCCACAACAGATAAGAACCAAAGTCACAGACACGCGCCCCAAATAAATATGAGCCAAAATCACAGACATGAACCCGCAATAAATGACCATAAACACATAACGAGGCTCTCTTTCAATGGATGTACGTCATAGTCACAGATAAGAACCTCTTCAAAGAACCAGCAGTAAGTCACACACACATTCCTTGCATTCCCTCCCTACCCAGTAAGTGGGTTAAGGCCAGTCGCAAGAAGACTCCCTGTGAATAAGGACCTCTCCCCATGGATAGGGGCCAGAGTTAGACATGCACTCCAAGGATAAAGACCAGGGTCATACAGACGTTCTCCCTCCTACCCCTCCTAGGAATAAGGACACGAGCCACAGAACGCTTCCCCCATGGACAGGTAAGTACCAAAGTCACACAGAGCAGACAGCACGCCCCGGCCCCTATAGATAAAAGCCAAAGTCGCATACACCCGCTTTCTCACGGATAAAGTTCGGTGTCGCAGACACAGTAGGGCACAGTAGCCCACTCTCATCCGTCCCTCCCTTCCCCCAATCCGCGTGCACCTATCCAGTGTCCCGATCGCGCACGCGCCTCTGCTCTCAAAAGGGGGAATTTTTTTATTTTAAAAAGACAACCCATCCTGGGCTCAGACCGTGCACGCATCCCTCGGTTGCTGCCTGCAGTCCGCCCTCGCGCCTCTTCTACGCACCCCCCGCCCCCGGCCCCTTACCTCCGCCCCCAAGACCAGCGTAGACGCTCACCGTCTCGGCCCGGACTGTCAAGGGAGGGCTCCCTGACATCACCTCGGCCTGCCGCCACCTCCACCAACTCTCCCAGCTCAGCCGGAGCCGGTCCGCGCAACAACCAAGTCCGAGGCTGGAGGCAGAAAGGCGGAGGAGGCGGGAAGGAAGAAACGCCAAGCGCGCTGCCCTCCCGGGGAAATCCACTTCCACCTACACCCCGCCGGCCGCAATCACCAGCACAAAATGGCGACCAAGAGCAGGGAACCGGCGCTTCGACCACCATCCACCTACTGAGGGAGCGCGCTCGGTCTAGCTGCGTCTATTGGTCGCTGTCTTCCCTCGGCCAGCCCTGGCCCACTCTGATTGGCAAGCATCTGCCACCTCCCCATTCCCAGTGCGAACACCGCAAGTCGAGAAAAGGAGTAGCTATTGGCCAATCCGGCGAGGCCCGCTTTTTAGAAGCTTGGCTTCCTTCAAAGATGAAAGACAAGCGGAAGCTCCGCCCCTTCCCCAGAAGGCAAAGAAAATTCGGTGTGATTGGCTGGGAACTGCACCCACCCAAATGTCACCGCTTTCTTCTCAGCAAGGAAAGGAACTGACCGCTCAGGTAGAATAAACGTAGCCTGATCGAGAGGATTAGAGCAAGGTTGCTCTCTTGAGGCTGTGACAGTGGTGGCAGAAAAAGGGCTGCTCAGTATCCCAGTCATTTGAAAACAAAATCCGATAAGACTCGGGACCTTTTTAGTGCGGCAGGGGCGGAGCGACAATGATCGCGCTTAGGCCAACTGCAGCTGCGCCCAGTAGCATTTCCGTCCCCGCCCCTGAGAGCCTGCAGAATTGTCGGTTATGGCGGCGGGACTGTTAGGTTTGTGTGCTCGCCGCATTTTGGCAGTAGCGGCGACGCAAGGGCGCCTGGCTGCCCGGGTTCGCTGGGAATCCAGCTCCTCCAGAGCTGTGATCGCCCCGTCCGCTGTGGTGGGAAAGCGGGCACCGGAACCAAATATGCGCTGGCAGGAGGACCCAGATCCCGAGGACGAAAACCTCTATGAGAAGGTGAGAGGGAGGCGGAACGGGACGCCAGAAGGGTCAATCGGGGGCCAGCTGACGGGGCGCCGTGGAGGACGTTGTTCGTTTGCTGAGGATTGCGCAGCTGGTGAAATCCTTGAGATTTGGGAATTTCGCTTAGTTTATTTTCCTCCTTTGTCCAGTGATATCTTCAGTTCAGGTCCAGAGGCGAGATTGGCCTTATTTTGTAGACAGGTGCCAAACCTGAAGTGGGCAGTGCTCAAACCACTTAGAAGCAATATGCTATAACAATAGTAATACTAAACACTTATAGGACGCTTGCTCGCTGCCGGTGTTCTAAACACTTTACATACATTAACTCATCTATTCCCAAACAACTCTATTTCGAAGTAGGTGCTATTAGCATACCCATTGTACAGATGAAATTGAAGCACAGAGATGTTGAGTGGCTTGCCCAAGTTCTCATGACTGAATGTGTGGCAGAACCGGTATTTGAACTTAGGTCTACGAGGTCTTCTGTGCTGTGTTGATAGTAGAGACTCAAATCAGAACGCCTGGTTTGGAATACAGGCATTGACAGTTACTCACCTGTGTGACCTTGTGCAAGTAACTTGGTGCTTCAGTTTCTTTGTAAAATGAGAGTATTAGGACACCTTCTAAAAAATAAAATACAACACCTGCTTCTTGTAATTAAGTGAGTCAAAATGTTCAGAACGGTATCTGGCACTTAGTACTCAGCATCAGAAGGTGTTTATTATTGACACTTTCCACCTCACTGGGATATTGTGAAATTCGTCTGTGAAAAGGCCTGGTATATAAGAGGTACTTCCTTAATACTCACCTCTGGTGGAGAGGCTTGGATATATAGGATGCTTGTTTGTTCATTCATTCATTCATTCATTCATTCATTCTATAAACATGTATTGAAGGCCTGCTGTGTGCCAGGGCCCTATGGGGGCAGTGTGGAAATCAGATATAGCTCTTATACTTTTTTGATAGTGGAGAACACAGGAAATATGTAAAATATTTGGAAATGGTAATATAGAGTATATAATCAATCATATAAGATAATGTGATACGGAGGATCTGGGAGCATGCTACTTTGGTAAACTAATAAATGCTAGAAAGAACGTTAAGCAAGATAAGTGGATTGAGAAATGACTTGAGGGTAGAGGGTAATTTTATTAGGTTGAACAATAGGAAATTGCCAATATTCAATCATTTTGACCTATGAAAATCGCAGTTTTCTATAGTTCAACTTAATAGACAAGGTGACTAAGGAATGCCTCCTAAGGGAAGTGATGATGAAGCCAAAACTTTGAATGAGGAGGCAGATCCAGCTATGACTAGCTCTGAGGGAAAGGCTTTTCAGGCAGAGGGAGTGCAAAGGCCCTGTGGTGGTAAGGAGCTTGACAAGCCCTAAGAACAGAAAGGAATTTAGGGAGAGAGGGGGAGATTGGTCCACGGTGAAATTGGGGGTGAGCTTATGCAGGGCCAGCATAAGGCTTCATGGAGCAGCAGGAAACCCTCATTGACATCTTCTTCTTCCACAGAATCCAGACTCCCATGGCTATGACAAGGACCCTGTTGTGGACATGTGGAACATGCGGGTCGTCTTCTTTTTTGGCTTCTCCATCGTCTTGGTCCTTGGTACCACCTTTGTGGCTTATCTGCCTGACTACAGGTACATGGGGTGTCCAAGAGAATGGGATGGTGTCCAAGAGAATGGGATGAGTGTGGGCAGAGGCAAGGGTGGAGGTTGAAGGGGATTCTGCCAGGAATCCTGTCTTGCCCCGTTGAGGAATGGGAGCGAAGGTTTGGATTGGTGTCCAGTGAGGTTCTCTCACATCTCCCCCCATGCTGCTGCCTCCAGGATGCAGGAGTGGGCCCGCCGGGAAGCTGAGAGGCTTGTGAAATACCGAGAAGCCAATGGCCTCCCCATCATGGAATCCAACTGCTTTGACCCCAGCAAGATCCAGCTGACAGAGGATGAGGACTAACTGGTTGTCTCGTGGGGCTCAAGAAGCACCACCTTCTCCACCCCCTGTCTGCCATTCTACCCTCTCCTCACAGCACCTAATTAAAGGGACTGAAAGTCTGACTGGCTAGTGTTGATTTTGTTGTGAGGGGGATGTGGGAGTGGGGGTGTCAGGCCTAAAAGGGCCACTGCAGCCTTTTCTGAGTGTTCTGGTTAGCTATTGCTGTGTAACAAACATTCTAAAACTTAGTGGTTTAAAATGACAATTTAGTATTATCTTTCATGGTCTTGTGGTTGACTGGGCTCAGCTAGGTGGTTCTTAGTGTCAGACGGTGGCTGGTGCTGAAGTCAGCTTAACTGGGTTGGACATCCAAGATGGCTTCTTCACTCACATGTCTGGCACTTCAGTCTTCTTTCAGGCGGCCTCTCTCTATTCATAAAGCTTTCAGGTCCATCTTCCCCAACCCAAGGGTAACCACTCCCCCAACTTGTAACAATGTAGGTTAGTTTTGTCTGGTTTGGGACTTCATGTAAGTGCATTCATACATTTTTGCATCTGGCTTCTTTCATTTAGCATGATTTTGTGAGAAAGATCTGTGTTACATGATTGGTAGTTTGTCCATCCTCATTGTTCTATTCTTTTGCATTGTATAAATAGACCACACTTCATCTGTTCCAGTGTCGATGGGCATATGGGTAGTTTTCTGTTTGGGGCTATTAAGAATAATTCTTTTGTGAATAATCTTATACACACCTTTTGATGGACACATGCACTCATTTCTCTTGGGCATATACCAAGGAACGGAACTGCTAAGTCATGGGGTAGACAGGTAATTGGCTTTAGTAAATCATGCCAACTTTCCAGTCTATACTTCCCCCTGTGGTGAATGCCACATCCTCGTCATCGCTTGTTCTCCATCTTTTTCATAATAGCCATTCTGGTGAATAGACTGCAACATTGTATGGCATTGCAAAAGGAATTAAATTGGCTCGGAATTCATTCCAGGGTAAACATTCTCATTAGAAAATCATCTGAGTTGGTATAATTCCAATTGTAAATGTTAATATTTGTAAGACAAGCCAATACATCAGAGATCAATTGCATGTGAATTAGAGGGGCGAGTCCAGGGCCAACCAGGATCCAGGCAAGGCAGTTTGGCATCAGCCATCATTGGAAGGGTTTGTTCACTCATTCACTCATTCATTCATCCAACAAATATCTACAGAGCACCTGTTGTGTCACAGGGGATACAGCAGTAAATAAAATAGGCAACAATCCCTGCCCTCTTGGAGCTGACTTCTTGTGTAGGAGACAGATAATAAATGTAAAGAATAACAATGTTGGATAATTTCTAGGTAAATGTATAATGTGATAAGTTGAGAAAAAT